AATTAGATATTTAACTTGAATAGGAGGCGCCACGCTCCGTCGAGACTAGTTAAATCCCAAGTGTCGATTACTTTCTGTTCTCCCGCAGTAGTCGGCACGACACACACCACTGTAAACTCATTAAGGATCAATTTCTATCACGCAAGTGAATCATATCCTTAATATTTGTCCTACAATAAGACAGAATATCCAAATCGTCTTGTAGATAGCGCAAATCACATATTAATATGGTCGAATAATAATATCTCGTGTGGGAAGAAACTCATGACCGACAATTAATTAATAAATCGAACGTTTGATCGGTATGCGAAGCTTAGGCTTCTGCTTCTGCTTTGCTTTGCTCCAGTAGAGATGAAATGAAATGAAACGAAACGCATAACTATTTAAAAATATAGTATGGCTATATAAGCGGTCGCTAGCCATTAATAGGAAGTACGATATTTAGTTGGAGCCAATAGTTAGATGTCGGAGAATCACATGAGTTTGGGTATGTATGGCAGCAAAAGTATATATCACGCACGTCGCATTTGATGGGTTTCATCTTTAAATATTCAGCCACACCATATTTTGTTGAATAATTTAGTGAATGACTAAGGATTAATTCCTTGCAGATGAAATTCGAGGGCAACGAGCTCCACGCGTTGTTAAGAGGATTGGCAAATTTAATTGTTTATCTTCATGATGGCGAGAAAACATGTAGAACTGTCACTGTGATCTGTAAATTTATTTCTATTTATATGGGTACACTGGCCCAATTTTGGGAGGTTGTTTACTCTGACCACTATACAGTTTCGTAGAAATGGAAGAAGATAGTTCCCACATTAGGATCCAAACGATGTCCTTAGAGGACTATCAGTTCCCAAAACATAAACTTAAGCAATGTCTTGACGGTATTTCAATGATAACAAGTTTGTTTGGACAGGCTTATGATAGAGTTTGCAACTAGAAGTGTATGCTTGTGACTGTCAATGTTGCAGTATAGAAAGCATAAATTTATCTTTTATTCCAACTGTGTTTTCTTTCGACTACTAATTATTAGATGATTCTAAAGAGCCACTCGTGCTAATTGAGTGTGGATCATTCTCGCCCATAACTAATCAGCATCTGCGAATGTTTGGTTAGTTTAAAAAAAAAGAGAGAGGGAGAGGCTTGTGTGTTGTTTGCCATTGTTACCAAAGTTGCACTTAACTGATTGAAGAAATTAACTCTTCTAATTCTCAGAAATGGCAAAAGACGACATTGGATATTATACAAACTATGAAGTAATTGGCGGTTATTTCTCTCCAGTATCCGACCATTACGGTAAAAAGGACCTTGCACCAGCACACCATAGAGTACGTATGTGCGAATTGGCTGTTGAGACAACATCGACGTGGCTGATGGTTGATTCTTGGGAAAGTCTACAACAAAATTATACCACGACAGTGCGAGTGTTGGATCATTTCGACAAGGAAGTGAATGAGAAAAATAATATTGTTACCAAAGATGGTAAGTTTCAATGTGACGATAAGAATGAACGCGTGTGAGCGTATATCTGATGATTTGAATTTTAGTAACATGATTTTATTACAAGGTGTAAAACGCCGTGTTAAGATTATGTTGCTGTCTGGTGCCGATTTGATCGAATCTTTCAGCGTGCCAGGTCTTTGGGCAGATGACGATGTAAGTGTAAAATGAATATCAAACAAATCTATTTGTTTTCATAAGGTTTATTGTCTGCTTATTGTGTAGTTACGTTGCATACTCGGCGTCTATGGATGTGTGATCATTGAGAGGACAGAAGCGGATGTATGGAAAGCCGTCGTTGGGCATGATATTTTATATGAGCATCGGGTGAGTGAAGCGAATAAGGTATGCAATAATCGAATATGTTTCTAATAACGACCTTTATAGAAAAACATTTGTATTGTGAAAAGGTTAATACAAACCGATGAAAGCTCTACAAAATTGAGGTAAGATTATAGGATCATGGAATAATTGTGTGTTGACATATCATCATTGATAACGCCGTACTTTTCAACTTGGTGTAGATTATTTATTAAGAGAGGACTGTCGATAAAGTATCTATTACCATGCTCTGTAATCGAATATATCCAAGCACACAATCTCTACAAGTAAGACTACTAATAGTCATTGTAGGCTAATTACATACTGAGAAAGATATCATTCTACTATATTATATTAATTATGGCACGTTATAAAGGCCGATTGCTCTTTGTATATTCAATATGACGATTAATGAATGAATAAAAAATTGCTAACTATTGTACTGTTATGCAGCTAAACCCGTTTGTCTATCGATACAGGATAATGTCTCTTCAAACAGAATGTGCTATTATTATAGTTGTGCCATCCTCTGCTGTTCGTTCCCCGCAGTCTGTTCCTTCTCGGCAAGTCTTCTTGCATACGCAGCAATAATAAATGAACAATATACCTACTCGGATAAATAATTGTTGGTTGGATGACGTTCATCAATACCTAACAACGCTACCTCAATAATTCACTCAAACACTCACCGATAACATAATAACAAGCAACATCCATATAATCGAGAGTGGTAATAATACATTGTATGCTCGCCCACATGTATCGTCAGCAATAGTATGATTCGTTATGGAGTCGTTTGGAAAAGTTTCTACGCATTCAGTTAAAAACTCATTTTTACGTGAGAGAAGAACAGAGACATTAACCAGGTTTACGATCGAAAATGTAAATGCTATGAGGTAACCGAGGTACGAGTACTGTTGTATGTTTGCGAAAGTGGGCTTCACGAGAGAAACAAAGACAGAAACAAGATCATTAAAAAGAAGAAAGACAAGTCCCCAAAGTAATGGGTGTGACGGCTGAGAAGCGTACCAGAAACACTGTCAGGAAAAGACCATATGCTGATGCAAGAGCAGTTAGGAAGTATACGATTGAAACCGGCAGGGAGTAGTCTTGGAAATAACTATAGACTGTTGCAGGAAACAAACGATTACGCTTTAATTGACGATACAACGATTAATCATAATGCCTTTGCGGATCTGGATGAAACTTACAATTAGAGGACCAAGCATGGTTCTTCCTACTCGCTGCGTAAGCCAATATTAAAGTACATGCTATATATATGCTGTATGCCTGCACAAATCAAAAAATAACACTTCAATGGTTATGATGCTCAGATGCCAGCCAGCAAGCATTCAAACACGTACCAACCAGACAATCGATATTAGTACAGTGCCAGGCCGTAATTTAATACAACAGCAACAACTATCCAGTTTGGCTTCAGGGAGCGTGACAGAAGGCAGTTCACTGAAAATGCGTAGTCGAGGCATAATCAATTTGTGTGTGCCTGCTCGCTGCAAAAGCACTGTAATATAAAGTAACCGACTTTTTTTTTCTCACGAATAGGAGAATGTTCGATTAGTCTCACGTATGACCGTTTTCCAATAATAGCAGTAAGCATTAATTGTGGACATAGACAGAGAGGAAATTAAAGCCTCACCGATTATGGGGCGGGAAAATGGGTAAAAGAGATAAAAAAAATGTAAGATCCTTTTAGTATTAGTAGATCATTTGGCATTATAATAATACACGTAACTAACAGGTAGCAAGTAGTTGAAGCTTTGCAAAGGAAATCAAAAATTCTATCCTTGCGGATCGGTAATTAAAGAAGCAGATAGTAATAGAGAATGAAACAAAACCAATACCAAACCAAAACCAAAACCATAACTAAAAATAAATACTGTCATTCTTTTCACCGAAGAATCCGGGGCCAATCACATTGTAGGATTTTCGATAGTTCGGTTTTAAAATAGCTCGTTAAACCATTCGAGACATGAAAATGCCTGCTTTTGCAAGCTGGAACAGCCTGCATATTTATACTAATTTCTAACTACTGCAGCATAATATTAAATAATATATTAAATTTATGTAACAAGTACAGTCAACCTGCACATTCAGCATTTTATTTGTTTCACGTGATTCGATAAAATATTAGTAAGACTTACACTCAAACACTCTCACATGTTTTAGAGTTTTGAATAAAGACACGACAAATTCTGATAGACTTTTGCGGTATTTGATGATAGTTTCCTTAAGTGTGTATTATTCGAGATGACTTTAGCTTTAACAAAATGCTAAATAACATAATATTTCGCTTTCACAATGTGTTATTATAAACGTTGTTGGTATGCCTGAAATAAACTCAATTTTAATCAGGCCAAGTGAATCATGATCGATCGTTAAGCAGCTTTATCCTGAATCTTTGTCCTAATTTCAGTAACAGACAGATAATGTATTTCCTGATCATTTCTTTGTTTTGTAGAGAGGGCGGGATACATATTAAGTCTGTATTCTCAAGTTTGACGCCTGAAGGCAATAAAGCGTCACATACAAATACGACTGCAAGTTAGAACAGCAAGGAAAGCAAAACAGGCTGACCGTGACAGTATACTACACGCGCTTTACCTGCGTTAAAGATCGCGTTTGGAACGATAAAGCAAAAGTGCACAGCCACTCGATTTTTTGCTAGAAAAATTAATCACGTTATTACTGTAATACCGTGCGTGATCGAGGGATTTTATGGGTAACACGACATATCCCAACCGCGCGCGAAACCTTTACCAAACGAATAAACTGAAATGAACGAGAGCGGCACTACGAGTACTCTCAAAGACCACTTCCGTTCCTCCAAACGGGGGAGTGGATACGTACGTGCAATGAGCAAAAAGGTCTGTTTTTGATATTCGGGTTGAAAGACTTTTTACGCGCTTGGACATTAAGTTTTTATGGCTGTTATCGCTGTTATAATAAGACTACTGTTCTTACATAGATATGATTATAAATGTCTTCAGCCGATAATCAATTAATTCCTATTAATTATTAGTCTGAGGTCACATCTGTCAAGGATCCGGAATCACTGCAGCAAAATACTAAAAAACGCAGGAACACTCGTCCAGATTCCAGTCCCACAAAGAGTCAGAATAAAAAACCTAAGCTCGAGACTGATAAAGACAAAAATGACGCCACAGCCAAGTCGTTTCATCGTTCTGCCGAGTTCTTAAGATTGCCTTCAAGTTATGAAGTATTAGAGAAAATATTCCAATCTTTAGAAACTGTAATGATATTTGTGAAGGCAAAAAATGAGATTTGTGTTTTCCATAAAATCAGAAAAAGTGTTGAAGGACTTTGTGGAAGGTATACTACTTTATCAAGTTACATTCAATATTTCATTCACATCCGAGCTCAGTTTTGAACTGTATTAATTGAATCATCGGTCATTATTGTACTATTACCCACGATGTTTTTCTTTCTCTAGGACATTTGATTTGACTCGGCTGGCGCAAATAATATCAGTTTATCCCGAAGCTTATACGTACAAACCCATCCGGCATTTTCATCAGGACAAATCTGTACTCTCGTATGTTATCGACTTCAACACTACGTCTGAATCTGCATCAAAGGCCTCGTCATCTGTGTTTACGGTCAACACGCAAGAGAGGAAGAAAGTCTTTCGGAATCGATTGGTTGAATTGGTGAAGGTAGAACAAACGGTACGACAGACTGTGAAAAGGTTACTAATAGGTGTGGAAAATAGGCGCTTACTTTCTTACCATAGGAATTTTTGAAGAGGCAAAACATCAAAGAAGAGGCAATTCGTCTATGGCATCCGAAATTTGTTCTTAACAGCGTTCCGGAAATTGTGCCCGCAAGGTTGCCGCAGATTGATATTACGACCGTGAGTACTTAATACAAGTCTTGACAAGCAGCTTCGTAATACAAAATGGTTTGACTTAATGATTTCTATATTATAGAAGAATCTCACCAATGCTACCAAACAAACTAGTTCAATCATCGCCAAACATAGTATTACACCTGTAATAAATAAGAGTACTCTTCCATCCATCCCTTCTAAACCAAGTGGAGACATTAAAGCCAGAGAGAAGGCTATATTGGACCGAGTAAGTAGTGCAGTCGTGTATCTTTTGACAAGGCAATTGTGCACATGAATAATGTAACGTTCAATTTTTATAGATACGTGAAAAAGAGAGACAAGCAGCTCAGAGGAAGGATGTGACAACTTCGCCTATAGACAAAAAGAGGAGGTTGATGCTGAGTCGTTTACCTGACATGATTTACACAATATCATAGTAAGTTCATTGTCTTCGTTCCGTGTGATTTTATAAGATAAAGGTTAACAAATTTCCATTATCAGTCCATTTACATCATCTGATAAAGATGTAATTGTGTTGCATAAAGTAGCTGAAATAGTCTCAGACAGCTACAGTAGAAAACTCATTATCTCCCAAGGTGTGTTTGTTTTGTCTTTTTATTATCATTATTATTTCTATTATGATTGCTTGTCTGATATCTTGTAATATTATCTTGCACTTCACAGCTGAGGCTGAAGATCACATAAGATTGGTCAGCACCTGTCTCCCTGACTGGTGTACAGTATTTCCAGTACAAAACAGGGGCACTTTTGTGAAAATAAAGAGATCAATCCCCATGAAAGAAGTGAAAAGTAAATTGGTAGAATATCTTAAGAAAGAAGGTGTTAACGTATAGGGAGGTGAGGAGGTGAGTATGTATTTGCAAGAACAATTTATTATAGGGCTATACATAAACAACTACAATCATAAATAAAATCTTCTCGATATGCTATTATCGCTTTGTAAGACTGCTATGGTAATAACTAATCAAATAAAAGTCTTACTTAAAACATGGTACTGCGTATTGTAAAACTCTCAGCTAGATTCGCGGACAAATTAAAAAAGTGAATCGTATTAAACTGAGTATGAGACACTAAGTATGAACGTATTAGTATTGCACTGTAAACACTTTCTCCTAATATTAGTTGTTCATACATTATCAAATTCGATCATATTGGAGAATTTAGTTTGACATCTCATACAGGAATCAAATTATCCTTCATTGAGTTTCATTCCGCTTATGAATCTTTCCTCTTGGTGGTCACACCCACCACACGCTCGCCGGCAAATTTATTAGTTAGATTAACGCTAAGCCGAGAGATAATATATGATGACAAGAATCTACATCAGCGTATCTTCAATATGCCCTAACGCTAAACATGTACGCGTTTTTAGCCAACAACAGAAACGCAAACGCGTCAAACTCAAATCCTTATAAAATACTAATTTCTCCTGATGGCATAACATAGCCATCATCATACATTTTTTTATTATTCGCTCTTCATTATAGTCATTTTACCAAATATTCCTTCTGCCGTCTTTGAAGAATAACATACCGTTGTGGTTTTCCACGAATGATACTAGGAGGTGGCATTCATCTTCTGAAACGATTTGCAATTGATTTCTCGTGTAGGCACATCGTTCGCCATGTCGACCGCTGTCTAATACATTGGTGGTTGTTCGAGATAAATTAGCTGAATATCTCCAGCACGAACCGAATTTTGGTGACGGAGGAGAGCGTTGCCATTTTCGTCAAGTTTGTCGATCATGATTCTTCAACCATTCTTTGCTAATGTCGATTCCTTCGCATATGCAACGGTTTTCCTACTAGTCGACTACTAGTGCTTGCTGTTTTGTTCACCATGAACTTTGTGAAACATTTGTAAACTACAGATTTGAATTCTGAATCAGAGTCGACTTGCAATTCGTGAGTTGGTGGCTGTAATCTTCGGTGATTGTAAATAGTTTTGAATGCTTCCAAAACGTCTTCAGGTTTTTTTAGCAGTTCTCCATCAACTTTATGCATTACTAAGTCAACGACATTCAGCGAATATCGATAAATAGTATGATCTCTAATATTTTTCGGGAGTTCAAGTAAATCCGCCTGATGCATCCGTGTGTGGTTTTATCTTGTCGTTTATGAAGGCTGGCTAATTCTTTTTTTTTTTTTTTAAGTCAGCTGATGATACGCCTGATAAGGAGAATGTCTTGTCCTCGATCCCAGCACCTATAAATGTCTTAGAACCTAATTGTTGGAGGAAGGATAAACATTATTTATGACCGCCAGGTTTTTGAATTTGATGCGTATTATAGGTGTAATTTCCTATAAACTTTGCCAAAACTATCGAAATAATTAGCATTGTTACCTTTTTTGTGATATGCTACCCAATGAATCCCATTTCCATAACTATCATCGGGATAGGAAATTTGGTTCACGTAATTTTCGATATCAATATTAGATAGTGGTTCCGACAGAGAAACTGATTCTTCTCTTGATCACGATTTATTGAAATCTGATAATTTTGCGTGTCAGTATTTTTTCGATATGGAAATTAAAAATTACGATCTCATTAGAAATACGATCACTGGCTACTTCCCACATCAATCCGATGCATTGTTTGCGGGCCTAGTGATTGCGGTAAAATAAACCTTCTTATATGAAGAGGATATCTTGATTATGATACTGATTGGGATATCATGTGAGTTTATTGCTAAGTATAACTTCCAATTCGACCATACATCCCAAGAGACACGTAGAGACAAATTTGAAGCAAAATGAGAAAAAAGGATTATTATTATGCAAATCCATTAGAAACACGTGGAATATGGATTTTTGAAGTTCATGTTCGACTAAACGAGACAAAATAGTAAATTTACTGGAGACATTCGATCAAGCTGAATAATGCACCATACTCGGGAAAATCTCAAAGCTTCTACTAATTCCTGTCCCGAATTAGGGGTGTACGGTTACTTTTGAACAGCACTGTATAACGATATTAATATAAGAAGAAATTTCAAACCCACTACATTCAGTGAACGAAGTTTTCCTAAATTATGATATACCGAAATGTTGGTGCATAACTGTATATAGAGATTTAAACAGGCATGTTTAGCGTTAGGATTTTAGAGACAGAATGTATAAATAAATCTCACTTTAACTAAAATCACGTGATTATATATAAAAATTCGTTATTATTATAGAGATAGAAGTCCGCTTTAACGAACAGTCCCGCATTATTAACGGAGTTTTTTTTGGCGGAGCGGAGTCTTCGTTAAAGCGGACTTTACTGTGTATAATGTTGCACAAATTCGACGATCAATATATCAGTAGTTTAACCTCAAGATACTTTTCAAGTGATCCAACGAATTTTTCATTCAAAATTATGTTTCAACAACCCAAGAGGCGAGCGGAAGAGACTACGAAAGATTATAGCTACAAAAAACGGAAAACGGAACAGGTTAACGTGAAAGCGGTCTCTCCTGAAGGTATTACCGCTCTTATCTGCAAATGCTTGAGTCTTTTAAAAGCCTAACACGCCTGCTGATTGCCTCAAAATAGTGTCGCAAACTCGGGTAGATTCACAATCAGCCGACATGAAGAGGCCGGTTACTGGCAAAATAACCAAAAAGTCAAAACGGGAGAAAAAGGCTTCTATATTTTCACCAAATACACCGTTGCCATCGAGCATAGCAAAGTATATAAATATGAATTCACATCTGAAAAGCGTTGATCACGGTCGGCTCAATACAATGGTAAGAACTCGTAGCTTTCGTATTTCACTTTTTCGGTCGATACTTCAGATTTATGATGTCGGTACAAACTATTAGGGAAGGCTAGAGATAGAATTAGACAAAGCAGTAACAAAGGGGGATTTAGAACTTGCTACCAAGCTGAGTGAAGAGATTTCTCTCAAGAACTACGAACAAATGGTGCAAGAAGCCATCGAGCGGAAGGAGTATTATGAAGCCAAGCAGGTATTATATCTTGTAAGTCATTGGTGATGGAATCCGAAGATTTACTGAAATTGTTCGTAATTAGAAAGAGGAAGAACGAAAGGCAAACAAAAGAGGCCGTAAGCTGAAATGGGGGTACGTATATAATAACTATTTTTTGTTGTTTCTTTTTCTAAACTCGTTGCCTGATTTATGCTGTCGTTTAAATTAGTTTTGAGTCTAAGCGCCGTTGGGAGACAAAGAGCAACATGTAATAAATGCGCAAAGGAAGGAGCTCAACCCAACCTCCCCAAGAGAAAATGAATTAGTACAAAAATGAAAGCCTTATTAACATGGACAATCCCGTGAATGCAGCCTCTCAGCCAACTCGCGCGAAGGTTGTGTCGTGTTCGTTCGTTCGTTCGGTGGGTTGATTTTACCGTAGTGGTTCGTTCCCCAAATGTTTGAGATCTTTTTTATGTGTTATATAATATGTAATATTTTATTTGGTGTATGTTGATACTTTGTACAGCAGTCATACAATTGAAACTTTTCGGTATCTACGTCGGACTTATTTTCATGGGGCTTTATTGGGCTTAGTATCTTGAAAGTTGGATCATTCAATACTATATCTCTGGTGGCTTTATCAAATATTCCATCAACCGCCTTGAGCTTGTTATACAGCACAAAGATTATAAGATCATGTTTCCGGTCATCTGTGAAGTGCATGGAATAATAATTGCTTTTCTCAAGCAGAATTAATTTATTACGCCAAGTTTTGGAACTAAGTCGGTTATGGCCACGAAATGTATGACGCGGCTGTGAATTCAAAGGCCTTACGTCTACTGCAAACCAACAATACAAATCCACCTTCGCTTCGTTGTGCTTCTGTTTCCCACGAAAAGGGACCAAAGAAATATAAACAGAAACCACCAATGTCTTTGTAGAAATAGACGACTTAATCAAAATAAATGATTGCATGTTATGTAAGTTGCTATTCAAATGATAGATTAGTACAAAGACCGAAGTAAAACCGAGAAAAGCATATACACCTTTTATTTCTTGATTGAGAATATGCTTAGAAGACAAGAGCAGCTCCTTTGGTCTATAAAGAGATGAGCAATACGTGTTGAATGGTCAAATAATTGATGAACGAACATTAGATCAATCTTGGACTAGAAATAAAATACCTTCTTATCGCCACCAAGTTCAAAGTGTTTACATCGCTTAAGCGCTATTTGGTGTTTGTACTAAGAACGAAATATTGTTAATTATGGCAAACTTTCCTGCCAGAGCCACTAGAATGATGACACTGCGCAAATAATCGAACTCACCTTGCATTTTTGACACTCCAAACGAAGGACAATTTTCTTGGTGGTTTTGGCTATAGGTAAAATAAGAAAGGGTTGAGCTGGTCATCTGGAATAACATCAAAATCCGCACTCCATAATTGAAATCCAACCTTTCTTGTGGAAAACTGGCTTGGTCTGACCACCATATCCAGATTGTTTACGATCGTATCGCCTCTTTCCTATTCCATAAAGCCAACATAAGCATCCATCATTACCGCATTCTGTCAAATCGAGCTTAGGATATATATGACCAATTGCAATTTACCTTGAGCATAGAGTGAATCTTTGCCTTTCTTATATTGCGATACCTTATGTGGCGTGTGCTTTCGGCATTTTTTGCCTTTACAATAAGTATTTCTGATTTTTGGGACGTTGACCTATTGTTGCAAGTGTTCGATTTGACTACAGAGTGTTAATGGGTTTCGTTTTAAACATTTAAAAGCACATAGTACGAAAGTTGTGGATTGGTTCGTCAGCACTACTCAGGATTTTGACCCAAGCAACGTGCAAACGTCAAATCTCAAGACGAGAAAAAGCTATACATTACCATTTTTAATGATCACAGTAACGAACCAAACCAGCGATAATTTCGAAAGAGGGAGTCACCAGTATACAATATTCAACTGCTTTATATCGAACGAAAAAAAATTTTAGTCGCACGTGACGATGGTAGTATTGGATATCCAATAAATAGAAATATAGATGTAATTAATATTAATATAAGTTCTCGATCGGCGGTTAATAAGTTTGATCTTACCATCAAATTTATCGGAACTTAGGCATCAGGATCACTATTCAATTGTGTTTAACGCGTTGCTATTACTATTATTGAAGCCTAGATTTTCGTTAATACATTCTCGGTGGCACAGCGGTAGTGCGGCTCATATACATACTTAAAAATGTGACCCCCGACCGACTCGCTGGTCGAACCGAAATGGTGCTGTGCAAATTACAATAGAATAAATAAACTTGTTCCTCATGCGAGACCATAATTGGATCGATCTCACTATTGCTACTGCTAATGGAGATTCTTTATCAATGACAAACATAAATAAATATCGACGAAACTACAGTAAAATAGTTTGGAAATCTCGTATCAACTCAATTATTAAATTAATGCATCTACTTAACGCTTTATAAATTCTTCTTCACGAAAATAATATAATTAATATTCTGAAATTACCAAAGAAATTAAATCCTTTCCATCCTCATACTAACCCCTCCTCCTAAAAGGCAAGACTATTTTCTTCATAATATCCGCCCATTTGTTAGAGATGAATTTAAAGACATTACTTGTCCACAACCAATTCATACTGGCAATGAATAAACTTAGATAATTGGTCTCAATATTTACTTTGTAATAATGTACTCTATATTTTCTAACCCGGCAAAGGCAGCTAACAGTAAACGTGCGCGATTTTATTTCGGCATCTTGTTAACTCAACCATTTTGACTAATTCGAAAAGAAGTAAACCTTTGAATAAAACTGGTAAATTACAAGCTTATTCAAAAAGAGTTTGAGTCTCTAAATTATAAGAAATGGACATTGTTAACATTGTATATTTATATCAACATGTAACCACATAATTAGTTTATATGATAAACTACGTTACTGGGTAATCGACATATTTTTAGTGGACATTATCGTTTGTGATGCGTAACGGAATGTTGAAGTCTTTATACGGAGATACCGCCACCTGCGATACTACCGCCAAATCAAAATAATTGCATTCGTATTATACTACGTGATAATGACTTGTACAAATTGATGTCACTTGTAATAATTACACGCATGTTATACTGATGTTCCATTAATGTTTATTCGCATCATGCAAAGCTCTTTTGCCCTAGTATTATTTTAGCGAGTCAAGTTTACACAGCGTGACCGAGTATTTCCTCCCGTGCAATCACTCTGGTGCCTCTATATTTTCGTGATCACATTCTATAACAACAATAAAGTTACAGAAAATCGAATTGTTAAGTTATTGACTCTTTGGTAACTATTGTGTCAAAGTAGCAAAATACGACTATAAGGAACAATCTTTCATTGACTGGTTACTCGATCAATGGAGGTCTTGCTGTAGTTTTTATTGTTATTAATATTAATTTTTATGTTGGTAAGTTTCATAATAATTTGCTCTTTATTCAGATATTAGGTAATTCTCCTGCTGTAAGTAAGAGCTTACCAGAATATTTATTCTCTTTTTGCTGTCAGAATTATCCGCGTTCACCTCCCACCTAAGCTCATGCAAACTCTAAATCGTACTTAATATTCCATGTCAATTTTTTGCACACATCGACAACAGTCGCAATGTAATCATCCAGTGTCATCGCATCTGGGCGTTTGTCAGGATCAGCATCCCAACACTGCTCGGCAAGTTTCTTGTATTCCTCTGGTGCAGAATCAGGCATCGATGGTCGTAGTCCGCCCATAATATCGCATGCTAAATCTCTATCGAACTGCCTATCCCTAAAAGGTGGTTCACCAGTAGCAATCAAATACATAA